AATTAAAAATGATGATTAAAGATGAAACTCAAAATATTTAAGTTTTCGAAGTTATTATAGCACATCATAAGACTTAAGATATTATTGATTTAACTGTTAATACTGACATTCAACAACTTACACAAGAATATCTCGATAATAAGGATTTTGTTATTACTGAAAAAATTATAGATGATAATTGAATCATAGAATTTATTATCAATCTAAATATTAATAATAAAGTAGACAATGTAGTAGAAGAAAAACCTAGAATTAGTTTTACTAAGATTATTTTAATTTATCTTTTTTTTTGCATATTTTAAGAAACCTGAAGTCAAATTTTTCTAACAATATTTAAATTAGTGATGCTTGACGAAATAATGAAACCTGACCAAACCATAAGTTTTATCAAATTTCGTTATTAACAAAACTTGATGAAACTTATAGTTTCATTATTTTTGCTATTTTGTCAAGCATTACTAGTTCAAATACAATATTTTAATTTTAAATTATTATTTTTAAAGCCAAACAGAATCTAAATTTACTTCTTAAATTTGTTTGCCAACAATCACTACAGCCTAATAGCTTTATTAAAGAAAATGATGAAGATTTTTTTTGAAATTTTTTTCACAAACCAATAGGGCTTTTGCTAAAACAACAAAGCAAAGCACTCTTGAAAACTTTTTATAAGTTTAGTTTTATATTTGTTCAGTATAAATATTAAAAATTAGTATTATTTAATTTAATTCATAATAAGGAGAGGGACAGAAATCAGCTAATTTTTTAGAGGGAGTGAAGTTTGTGATTTGATCAGGTCTTATATTTTGTAGTTAAATTTAATTGGTTAATATTTGAATCAGGTGGGGTATAGCCTCTTAGTAACTTAAAATCATCTGATTTCTGTCTCTTACCTAATTTATTTAGGTCTGCAAGTAGACCTTTATATCTATTTATAATTTTATAAATTTTTTTAATGCTATTTTATTAGATTTTTTTGTTGTATAATGTTATATGCTTAATTAAGTTTGAAACAATTAAATTGCAAGATGTTTTGATTCAGATATCTAATTGAATATATTTTTTTAATTTTTTTTGTTAAGAAATTTACTCAGTTATCAAATTATAATTCAGATTATATATAGTTTATATAATTAGTTAATTTATTAAATTTGGTTTAATAATAAATATATATTACTAACTATATATATATACTCTGCAACAATTTGAAGTGAAAAAAGTTATAAATAGTAAATATAAAATAACTTATTCAAATTAATCACATTCTACCTATAGTTATATGAATTCACTGATTTGATGATATGACTATTGCAGAATTTGACTGTATTATATAAAACTTAAAATTGGTATTTATATAGTTAGCAACAAAACATAATCTAAAGTTTTTAGTCTTTATTTTATACTATAAACTCAACAAGGTTTTTTTTATATAATTAAAATATAAGATCTACTGTAGATATAAAATACTAGTTAACTATCTTCAGGGTTTGGGCCTTGTAGCTTATTGGTTAAGCTCCCAAACCCTCACAGACAAGATCAAAGGTTCGAGTCAGGCTGGTAGCAAATTTTAAATTTGTTACTATAACCTTAAAGAGCCAAATCGAATGTGAAGCTCTGTGGAAGTCCATATGCAAGTACAAAATTAGATTAGGAATTCCCAGAAGGAGACCCCATTATGGAGTATAGGTACTACGTGTAGCAGCGGCATTACAGAAGGTTCAGTTACTGAAGATCGCATATATAAGTCCTTGTATACAGGCAGCACCAACATCTTTGTACTTCCAGTTTAAGCAGCACCAACATCCTTACACCCAACTTGTGGGAACTTGTTTGGGAGTGTAATCAGCGGATTGCGTATATTAGTCCTAAACTGGTATTACAGTACTGGATTTGATTGGGAGGGTGATACAACAGTAACTAAAACTGGAGTAGTGAGAGAAGTGGTGAACATAAAACCGGTTTGTGGTAAAGGATTGGCCTTAACAAATTTGAAAGCACCTCTGGCACCTGCCTGGAAGACTAGAATTAGAAGGTTCTAAATATAGAGAAATAGTATATATTTAGAAAACATGTAAATATTCGAAATAGCCAGGGGACACTGGGCTGGTAGTACTTATGTACGAACAGGTATAACAGTATTGCAAAGGTACACCAACTTTAGAATACCAACCAAGTTGAAATACCAAGTTGAAAGTAATCAAGTATTATGAAATCACATTGAAAGTAACTTTAGTGATAAGTTACCCAACATAGCCTATACCTTACCAACTTACAGGAGTTTCTGTTTAAAAATAAGTACACAGTATAAAAGTACAAATAAATGATTATAAGAGCTGCGGAGGCTAGTATCTTGAAGAAAAAAAAAAAGTCTATAAGGGACGTTAGTAGATAAAGGCAAAAGACATGTGATTTGAGATGTTGAGCCCAGTATCTGAAGGAAACGCTAACCAACACCTACCACCAAATTAGGAAATAACCTGGTTACAAGGCCTTAGTTGTAATACCTATTTGAAAGTATATTTGTGGCTATGTGAGTAATGTGGTGAATATATAAAAATACTAATAAAGAAGGTTAGAAAAGCAAAAATTTCAGTTAGGTTTAAACAGGTAATACCCATTGGGTAAAGCTTAGGTTGCAGATAAAGTAGTCTGAATTCTTTGTATTTAAAGTTGCTTAGTTGTACCACATTGTAATGTATCTATAATTAGTAAAAACTAATAAAGTTACAGAGGGTAAGACCTTGCTTTTAAAACTAAAAAAAAAAAATAAATAAAATTGAATGGCTTGCTTTAAAAGCTTATCGTATACAAGTTACACAGAATTTTCATAACTGAAATGCTGTTCTTTTAAAAACCTGAATTGCATATTATAAATGTATACAATTCAAATTCTTATTTTATATAATATACCCAGGACCTATTAAAGGTTTTAAAATTGTAGAATGTAACAGATCCAGGTCTTGTATACGGTCATTTGCTGTAGATTTCTTTAAAGCCCCTAGCTGACTTACAAAATTTTTTCCACCCTTGTAATAACGACTAATCGAATTTCAGGATCAGGTGTAATGTGAAAATCGAGACAAAGCAAAAAAACAAGAATAACTCTAAATTTTAATTAGGAAACTGCCTTCTGTGATTTAATGAAAAATATTCCTTGTAAAATTTTACATATAAGCATCACATTATTCTAGTTCTAACCCTAACTTTAACGCGGTTTTCTTAACTTTAATTTTGCGCGTAACTTTTACTTAGAAAACAAACCACGTTTGTATTAACAATCACGTTACACCTGATCCTGAAATTCGATTGGTCGTTATTACAAGGGGTGGAAAAAATTTTGTGAGACAGCTACCTAAAACGATTTCTTTGTACGTACACTAAATTAATATGAACTAAATTAATTAAATAATAAATATAGAGAACTTCTCTAAATGCGTTCACCATATATACCACTTAAAACGTTAGCTCAAATATATATTAAACCTTCCTAGATGCAATCTTCTTACTGTTTTCTAAACACACATTACCGGCATTTGGTCTGGACAGGTGCATTAAAAGAGGTTTCTCTGTATTCATAAATTAAAGTTACTTCAGTTACTTAGATTAATGAAATTTTTTATATACCCAATTAGCGTGAATAAAATAAAATTGTTGAATCGTTATTTCAAACACAAAAAATTTTTATTAATACTTACCCAAATCAATTCGAACAAATTGGAATTAAATATATAATAAATATTCTTGTACAGTAAAACCTCCATAAGTGCATCTTCTATAGGTGCACTCCCTCTCTAAATGCACGCTTAAATTCGGGTCCAAATATATACATGACTTTCATAAATGCACTTTTTCTTATTGTTATCTAAATGTATATTGTTAAAGTCTGGTCCTAAGAACGTGCACTTATGGAGGTTTTACTGTACTTTGAATAGATTATTTGATTTTTTTCATATATACTAAATTAACACGAACAAATTGAAATTGAATAGTAAATATTTCTAAACTTAAATAACTTATTTTAAATACATAGCTTAATAAATTTTTCTTAATACTCACCTAAATTAACACGAAAAAGATTATATTCATTTTTCTATATATAGAATAATACCGAATATAAAATTAAAAAAAGAAAATCAATAAAGTAATAATGTTGGGGAAATGATTTTGCTAGTGAAGTGAATATTGAGAAAAGGATCACTAGAACAATATGGATTCTAATTACATAAATTATAAGCAAATAGTTAGTTTTTCAAAGTTGTAATTACACTGCAAGCAGAAACAAATTAGCATTTTGTTAATTGAGTAATATAATTTTTTCTATTTTGGTTATTTTTAAAATTACTGCAACATACGTATTACCTTTGTTTTATACAAATTCATAGTTTCGCCACTTCATCAGCTGAATTGATTAGTAACAGGTATCGGCCGTATTGGCTGTAATGATAGTTATACACATCTGTTTGCATATATACATTATTTCAAAAAAATGTGAATTTCCCTTCAAGCAGCAAGGTGTCTATAATAAAAAAGGTAATTTAAATTTATAAAAGTTCGATCTAGTCAAATATATATATAAATGCAAATTTATGCATATTTATGCATATTTTTTTAACCAATGTTCATGAACTTATCAACTTGGCCGAATAATTCATTATCGATTAAGGCGTAGTTACTTAAATTAGACTACAAGAATTTTTAATTTCATTTTTAATGAAAGTTAAAATATATATAAGAGACTGTTCTTTAACATTAATAAAGTTCAAATTAATACGATATTTCAAATAATCTACCTTCTGATATGTTTCATTGTTGGTATATAATAATTAATTAATTGACAGATACAGATACTTTAATACGCTTATTACGCATTTAGGCTTTGTTTTATTACTATTTATCCTGCCAATTAAATATAATTTCAAAGAAACAAATTTATTAGCTATCAACGAATCTTATTTGAGCTCAATTTATATCAATAAAACTTCAATAATCTAAAACAAATAAAAATGTCTACTTCAAATGATCTTATCATGTCTACTTCAAATGATCTTACCGGATTTTGTTCTACCTGTAAAAAAACAAAATCAGTTGCTGAATTTACTAGACTTTATAAGGGCAAAATGGTAGCATGCTCTACCTTAATATATGTTCTGAGAAAGGAAAACAAGCTTATCAAAATAAAAAACATAAAGAAAAACTGAGAGAAAATGAAAACACTTCTTTACAGTCCTTAAATAATATGTCTGCAGATGCAGATAATAGTAAAGTTAATGACGATAATGATCTTCTTTATGAAATGTGTGATTTTGAAGAGCTTATAAATATTAATTTTAGGAATACTGATAATGATAGTAAGGTCGAATTTTCTGCAATGATAAAAATTGAAAATGAATTAGTAAATGAAGAAATATTATCGTTAGAGTCAAATAATAAAGAAATGGAAATGAATCATGAAGAAACATTATTATCAGAATTGGATCATGAAATATTATCTCTAGAATTGGAAAATGATGAAGTGTTATCACCAGCATTAGATTATGATGAACTAAAAAAATTCGTAGCATCGTTAATGCATTGCTTATGCCTATTCAAGAGGGATCCAGATATTATTGGGAGATTAGAAAATTGTATATAAATAAAAAAAGTAATCAGTACATAGGACATGCAACAGTATACCTGGGTTGTACACAACGAGTAGACTGTAATTATAAAAGTCAAAATGATCAAATAATAAAACGAATAAGTGAAGCAAGACTCGCTATTGCACGTTTTCAGTGTGATGGTTGTATCATAATCAAAATAGACATATGCGAAAAACAAGCTAAAATAATTGTAAAACATTTAATAGCCCACCAACTTCCTACGTATAGAGAAATAAGATTGCCGAAAAGTGCTGTAAAGTGGATAAAATTGCATGTTAATCGAAATTTAAGGAAAGTTGAACTTTATAAACAGTTATGCGACCAAAATTTAATTAATCCAAAATTACACACATGCCAACAAGTATATTATTGAGCTTATAAATTTTCTACTAAGCTATATGTTACTGATGTAGCTAACAAAGTAAAATCTTCTGTGAATTTTTTAGAGCAAAGAGAATTAGTCGATGCAGGATATAAAATTATACAATATCAAGAGAATGATTTTGTGCGTTCACTCGGGTTTATTACACCATCCTCTAGGCTTTGCATAATATTAGCGAAATTATTATTGATTTGACCTTTAAGACAAATCAAGAACGTTTTGAGCTTTTTGTAGTAAATGCTAATTGTGGTGGATATGGCGTTCCCCTTGCATATCTGTATTTAGATACATTTACAGTACCAGAGGAACGGCTCTCAGATCCTAATAATACTGTATGTACAAAAGTTGATGTGCTTAAGGAATTTTTTATCAGTTTGCGAAATGAAGGAGTCCTACCAACGTTTGTGCTTTTAGACAAGGATTCTGGAGAAATTATTGCCATTTTGGAGGCTTGGTCTCAAGTGGCAACAGTTCAGCTTTGCCTTTGGCACATAGAACATGCAATTAAATGTAGGTTAAAAGAAAATAAACCTTAAAGGAGTCAATATTCAGTTCAAAAGGCGCAAGAAGCAAATAGTGAATTTGGATTTATTAATCTAACTTGGCTTCCTAAAGAACCACAAGGCAAAATATGTCCTAAAGAATTAATAAAAGAGCTAATAGGGTTAGTTAAAAAACATGCATTACAGCATCCACTTATTCCCATAGACAAAAATATCTTTCTTACATCAGATGAAATTAGATATCAGAGTATTTTAGACGTCTACCAGTTTTGTCATCAAAGAGATCTTACTGATTTATGAAGATATTTGTGGATACATTAGTACAACATAAAAGATTGGAGCTTATTTGCATGGGCAGCTTATCCAAAAGCAATGCCTTTTGCTAAAACTACTATAATTACTAAATCGCATTGGCGTGTTCTTAAATATAATTATAAATATAATGTAAATAGACCACGCCTAGACCATTTAACATATATCCTTACTAAAGAACTGGTTTCAGACATAACAAATACTTGGAGACGATATTGCTATAATCGTGAATTCCCATCATGGTAGGATGTATTCAAGCACGATTGGAAATCTGCAATAGAAAAAGAAATAAATTCAGGAAATAATTATCATACTGATGTAAATACGTGGGTGTGTTCATATATGGCATTCTTATATAATTCTTATATAATATGCAAACATTTGGTAAAAAAATATACTGGAGACAATCATTCATTTTTTTCGCAATTTCTTGCTACAATATGTCGTCACGATTATCTATTCATCGCATTTGGTAATATAATTCTTCTAAGGATTAATGTTGATAATAATTCTTGGAATAACATTCGACAGAATATCGTAGAACATACACCTGTTTCAGAGAAGTCAAGTATTCATGTAAAGCATGTAGAGTCTTCTATTTCTGAACACTATGAAATTATTGAAAATAGAAAATTAGAGTTAACATCAGATCTTAAAACATTTGAATTATTAGTAAAAATTATAAATAAAAATATCGACAATGATAGGCTTTATGAAACATACAAAACCATTAAACAACCTCTCGTTGATGAGACTATCATCTGCAATGAAGTTCTCAATGCAAGAAGGCAACAAAAAACCTGAAAATCACCAAAAAACAAAAAATTAGCCTTTTGGTTATAATAAAATAAAATAGGTTTAACTTTTTTTTTACCATTCTCGTTTTCGATCTAATTTTCATATCTATTTGCTGCAAAGTTTTTTATTTCATACTTAATTATTATCCAAACTTATTCTTTAATAAATCAAAAAAAATTGTTATTAATAAAGGTTTTAAAAAAAAAATTTTTTAATTGAAATTTTATTCAATTCTTGTTCTGCCTATAACTGAAAAATATAACCTTGAAACTGTGGCTCAATTTATTTCTAGCCGTTAAATATCTAATATAAAAACAATGTCTAAAAGATGTACTTTTAGAAATTATTTCTAAATTAGCACATCCCTAATGGCAGCATTCATAGCATTTTATCTTTAGAAAAAATAAAATGTGTATAAAGTGAAGATTGATAAAAAAAGTTAAAGTAAAAATTACGATTAGACATTTTATTATATATAGCATTAATTTGATCTGAAATATTACACAATATGTTCTACATATTAAAGTAACGGTAACATTTTACAGTTACAAAAATAGATTGTTTATAAACTATCAAAGTAATTTGTCAATTCGCAAGGTAATTCGGAAGTTAGATGAAAGGTATGTTTGAATGTTTTAGTCTATAGGTATAATAAAGAAATTTAAACTGTTTTTTATTATTTTTCATAAACCAAATTAATAAAAAAATTTTATTATGTATAATATAGGCTAATAATACAGTATGAAGTTGTGTACTATAAGGCTTGTAGATTTTATGAAAAGAGATAAAGCGAAGTATAGTAAAACTTCCATAAGTGCACGCTCTTAAGACCAGACTTTAACAACATGCGCTTAAAGAATAATAAGAAAAAGTGCATTTATGAAAGTTATGTATATATTTGGGCCTAATTTAAGCGTACATTTAGAGAGGAAGTGCACTTATAGAGGATGCACTTATGAAGGTTTCACTATAGTGGTATTGTAACTATATAATGATAATTAAATAAAATTATCAGCTTGATATTAGAGTGAACACTAACAGTTATCTCTGATTAATTTTTTTATTATAGTAAAACCTCCATAAGTGCATGCTCTTGGGACCAGACTTTAACGATGTGCACTTAGAGAATAATAAAAAAAAGTGCATTTATGAAAGTCATGTATATATTTGGGCCCAAATTTAAGCATGTATTTAGAGAAGGAGTGCACTTATGGAGGTTTCACTGTAGTTATTAGTGTTCTAGAATAAGGTTAAAATTATTTTTTGTATTCGTCATTTTTTGGTTCGTTTTTTTTTCTTTTGATGTAGTATGTTAGGATTTTTTTTTAATAAAATTTTATTTGTCGGAATTCTATCTGTGACAAGATTATAGTCTTAAGTTTAAAGGTTGTCGAGATTTCATAATAAAGACTTATGCTAGTATTAATTTAATCATATAAATATATTATTTTGTGTATATTAGTTTTTTTATTTGTGATCAATAATTATTTTTCACTGTGCAGACTGTGCGCAGCATACAGAATTAAAATTTTGCGCACACTTTTTGAACCGATGTGCATAGTTGCTTGTAGTTTTCTTTATTTTCTGCACAGTAAATTTAACCGAAAAATTAATACTGTTTGTGATGATTTAGTTTAAGTTTATAAATTTCAATAAATTTCAATCAACTAATAAAATTAGCCAATCACAATTATACTGTCGATCATGAGGTCGGGAAAGTAAATTCGAAAGGATCGTCAATCATATGATCTTGGAATTTTTGCGCCATGACTAATCTACTAGTATTGTTGCTAAGCTTTTTGATTAGTTTGTTAATTGTTTTGAGAGTGTGGTGTAGTGCTGTAGCCTTGGTTGAGAAAGCGTAGAAGGTTCTGGGTGAGGTTGTGGTTGTTGGTATGTGTTTCATTGCTGCGTATTTGATCGCTATATAAAATTCATGCCAGTGTTTGTTAAGAGTTTTAGAATCTGTTATCTGTTGGTTTGCAATGCTACTTTTGCGAATCTGGCTTGTTGCTGCTTGAGCAAACTCTGCTCATAAGTTTGCTATCATTTGGTTATATTGGTATATTGTCCTTTTTCTTTTTTTTGCTAAATGATTTTTAATTTTGGGGTTGTATTTCCATTCTATACTAATAATTTTATGGTCGCTATTTGTAATAAGGTCTGCTATTTAAAGTATGGGGCAAGTAAAGGTATGTACAAGGTAAGCAGGTAACCATATGTCATTTATTTGGCTATGTATGTTTTGTCTGCACCATGTGGGTGAGGTAATATTAAAGTACTCAAGTGAACTGGTAAGCCCGGTTGTTTGCATTGTTTGAAAAACAGTGATACTTTTTAATTGTTTGCTGTGATCGTAGTTAAAGTCTTCCAGTACTATAATGTGGTAGTTGTTCTTGTTGGCTTGTTTTATCCATTGTATTACTATTTTTTGTGTTTCAAGATTGAGGTTTTTATTGTTAGATGGTAGGTATACTGATATGATCCGAGTTTTGTTGTGATTGAAAAAAAAGAAGTCGATTGCGATAGCAGTACTAGGCCATGTAATAATATTATAAATGTAGAGTCAGAGTGGTTTTATAACGGTGATTGCTGTTCCTATACTTGCTTCTTGAGCTTTTGCTGTTGAAGTATCACAGTTTGCAGTGTAGATGTAGTAATAGAGGTTGCTAGTCTGTAGGTTAGTATATGTGGATACAACCAGCTTTGTCTTGGTCATGCTAATTATATGAAACTGGTGTGCGTTGCAGAATTCAAGCCATAGTTGTGTTTTAAGTCTTGTGTTTAGGCCTTATACGTTATGTGTAGCAATTGTGA